ATCTCTGTGACCCCCAGGCGAGCTGTCTCAAAAAGAAAGAAAAAAAAGAAAAAAGACTATTTGTGTATGAGTGTTGGATTTTCTGGAATTGGAGTTATAGACCCATGTGGGTGCTGAGAACTAAATCAGGGTCCTCTGTAAGAGCAGCAACTGCTCTTAAGTGTTGAGTGATCTCTCCAGTCCCCTTTCTGCCTATTTTTAAGTGAACTGCTTTTTCTTGTGATGCTGGCCTTTCTGCCCTTTTTTTTTTTTTTGGTCTTTTTGAGACAGGGTCTCTCTGTAGCCCCAGATGTCCTGGTACTCACTATGTAGACCAGGCTGGCCTTGAACTCACAGAGATCTGTCTGCCTCTGCCTCCTGAGTTGCTGGTATTAAAGGCGTTGGGCCACCACGCCCAGCCCAACATTTTTTTTTTTTTGAGACAGGATCTCATGTATTCCCCAACTCACTGTTTCTGACTGTTGGAACTTCTGATTCTCCTGCCCCTATTTCCTGAGTGCTGAGATTACAAGTGTTACTGTCAGGCATGGTTGCCCACACCTTTAATCCCAGCACTCAGGAGGCAGAGACAGGTGGGTCTTTGTGAGTTCAAGGCCAGCCTGGTCTACATAGCAAGTTCCAGGCCAGCTGGGGCTACAGGGAGACCCTGTCTCAAAAAGGGGAAAAAAAAAAAAAGAAAGAAAACCCACAAAAAAAACAACCCCCCCCCCGCAGGTGTGTGTCACCATGCATGTCTATTCAGTGATAGGGATGAACCCAGGGCCCTGTGCATGCAAGTCAGGAACTGTACCAACTAAGCTAAGTTCTCAGCTCTAAAGTGTGACTTTTAAGTCTAGGTAGGTTATAAAAAGTCAGTTCTGGGAGCTCAGTGGGAAAGTACACTGGCTACTCTTGCAGAGAAACCAGGTTTGATTCCCAGCACCCATATGACAACAGTTAACTCCAGTTCAAGTGGATCCCATGCCCTCTTCTCACCTCTTTGGGCATTGCAGGACATGGGTGCACCTATGTACATGGGAGCAATACACAAAATAATAAAACATAAAATACATTTAAAAATTAAAAATAAAAAGTTCTGCTGGGCAAGGTGGTGCACGACTTTAGTCCCAGCACTGGGGAGGCAGAGGCAGGTGGATCTCCCTGAGATGGAGGCCAGCCTGGTCTCCATAGAGAGTTCCAGGTCAGCTGGGGCCACAGGGAGACCCTGTCTCAAAGACCAAAAACAAAAAAAAGTCATTTCAGTCTGAGACTCTTTTTTTGCTTTTATTTTATTTTAGACAGGCTCTCACTATGTAACCCTGGCTGACCTGAACTCTATATCTCTGTGTAGACCAGGCTGGTCTCCAGTTCACATAGATTGGAGGACACATATGTCTGCTTCCTGAACGCTGGGATTAAAGGTGATTTTTTTTTTTTTTTTTTGCATGCTGTGCTGGATATTGAACTCAATGCATTGCACATGGTAGTTTAACATTAAGCTGTAGCCTCAGTACTTTTGATCTCTTTTTGTACATTAAATAAATCCATAATGCCTGTTTTAATCATAGAACCTTCAATATGTAAGAAAAGTCACCAATGATGATGTTGCTATTTTTTTAAATGAAAAATTTTTATTTATGTTAATTGAATTTCCCTCTCTGTGAAAGAAATCCTTGTGTTCTTGTGTTAAGGTTAACATAGAGATTATGAAATTCTCAAAATTGGGAATGAAAATGAACTATCTGGTCAACTATTTGCATTGTTTCTACAGAATTCTAAACTCTATTTCTCTGAAATACCAGTATTTGAGGAATTTTTCTGGGAAAGTCATTTCAGGAGCCAGACAGACCTACTGCACAGCTGGAGTGCAGGCTGCCCTGAGGCATGACCTTAAGTCCACACCCTTCTTTCCTGCTCACCTTCATCTGTGTGCACCTCTCCACTTTTAAGGACCTTCTAGATTCTCTCTTTACGTTTTCAAAGTTTAGTTTCTCTCAAACGTTTATATACTCACAGTCATTAGTCCAACTACAGAAAAACATTTTACATAGTCAGAAATATTCCAGTGTAGATCTTTTTAAAACTGAACTTTTTATTTTTCAAAAAAAATATTTATGGGTTGGAGAGATGGCTCAGTGGTTAAGAACACTGGTTGTTCTTGCAGATGACCTGGGTTCGAATCCCAGCACCCACATGGCAGCTAACAACTGTCTGTAAACTCCAGCTCCAGGGTATCCGATGGCCTCTTCTGTCCTCGTGGGCTTTGCACGACATGAGTGCACTCACATACATGCAGGCAATACACTCATACACATAAAATTAAAAATTAAAGCCGGGGGCCAGGTGTGGTGGTGCATGCCTTTAATCCCAGCACTCGGGAGGCAGAGGCAGGCAGATCTCTGTGAGTTCAAGGCCAACCTGGTCTACATAGTGAGTTCCAAGACAGCTGGGGCTACAGGGAGACCCCTCTCAAAAAGACCAAAAAAAAAAAAATTAAAAATAATAAAATTAAAAAAAAATTATTTATGGGGCTGGAGAGATGGCTCAGCGGTTAAGAGCACTGACTGCTCTTGCAGAGGACCGAGGTTCGATTCCCAGCATCCACATGATGACTATCACTGTCCTTAACTCCAGTTCCAGGGGAATCCGAAGCCCTCTTTTAACCTCGACATTGCTCAACACAGGTGCACACACATACATGCAGGCAATACACTCGTACACATAAAATAAATATTAAAATTTCTTTTAAATTATTTATTGGTCTTTTTTGAGACAGGGTCTTCCTGTAGCCCCAGCTGGCTTGGAACTATGTAGACCGCCTGCCTCTGCCTCCTGAGTGCTGGGATTAAGGCATGCACTACCATGCCTGGCCTTAAATAAAATTCATTATGTGTGTGGGCATGCATGTCACAGCACACAGAGGACAGTTTGTGGGAGTTGGTTCCAGGGAACAAACCCAGGTGTTAGGCTTGATGGCAAGTGCCTTTATTTGCTGAGCCATCTTGACCTTTTTTTTTTTTTTTTTTGAGTATACTAAATACGAGCTGATTAAAATAGGTAATAGGGCAGACAAGACGGCTCAAGAAAGACATTTGCTGCTAAACCTGACCACTTGAGTTCAGCCCCCAGATCCAATATGACAGAAACATAAAAGAACAGGATTTTGCAAGTTTGCCTTCTGACCTCTACATACACGTCATGGTATGGGGGACACACATTTGCTTTTGAAAACGGTAATAATTCAATGACAAATCCTGCCAGGAATTTCCAAGTGTTTGGTGCATCAGAATGGTCCTGGGTTTGGTGTGGGCACACTGGACTCCATTTTTCCTTTCTTGCAATATAGTCTCCTCGCTTAGTGCCAGAAACGCTGTTTCATGATTTACCTATGTGTGCTGTACACATACACACACACACAGTTTCCCTTTGTTTCTGCTCCTCCAGTTTACCTTAAGAGGAGGCATTTACCTTTGGTGTCGTTCTCTTGAGGTGCTGGGATCCAACTCAGGCCTCAGTCGGGCATGGTGGCGCACGCCTTTAATCCCAGCACTCCGGAGGTAGAGGCAGGGGGATCTCTGTCAGTTCGAGGCCAGCCTGGTCTACAATGCGTTCCAGGCCAGCTGGGGCTACAGGGAGACTTTGTCCCAAAAAGACAAAATAAAAAAAAACACCCCAAAAAACAAATTTAGGCCTCAATCCTGCTAGGCAAATGCTCGCCGCTGAGCTACGTCCCTGCATTACATTTGCTCTTTTTTTTCAGTCTCCCTGTAGCCTCAGCTGTCCTGGACTCACTATGGAGACCAGGCTGGCCTCGACCTCACAGAGCTCCGCCTGCCTCTGTCTCCCGAGTGCTGGGACAGCTTGGTCTACATACCTTGTTCCAGGCCAGTCAGGTCTACATAGTGAGACCTTATACTCCATTTTTCCTTTCTTGCAATATAGTCTCCTCGCTTAGTGCCAGAAACGCTGTTTCATGATTTACCTATGTGTGCTGTACACATACACACACACACAGTTTCCCTTTGTTTCTGCTCCTCCAGTTTACCTTAAGAGGAGGCATTTACCTTTGGTGTCGTTCTCTTGAGGTGCTGGGATCCAACTCAGGCCTCAGTCGGGCATGGTGGCGCACGCCTTTAATCCCAGCACTCCGGAGGTAGAGGCAGGGGGATCTCTGTCAGTTCGAGGCCAGCCTGGTCTACAATGCGTTCCAGGCCAGCTGGGGCTACAGGGAGACTTTGTCCCAAAAAGACAAAATAAAAAAAAACACCCCAAAAAACAAATTTAGGCCTCAATCCTGCTAGGCAAATGCTCGCCGCTGAGCTACGTCCCTGCATTACATTTGCTCTTTTTTTTCAGTCTCCCTGTAGCCTCAGCTGTCCTGGACTCACTATGGAGACCAGGCTGGCCTCGACCTCACAGAGCTCCGCCTGCCTCTGTCTCCCGAGTGCTGGGATTAAAGGCGTGCGCCACCACGCCCGGCTTGCCCTTTTGTTTTTGCACAGATGACTTCAGGACACACTTTTGTCTGACGGCCGAGCGCTCTGAGCTACACCCTTGCACTACCACATTTGCCCTTTTGTTTCTACACAAATTAATGCAAGACACACGTTTGTCGGACGGTCACTAAGTCCCAGCCCGGGGATGCAGAGCGCGGACACACCGGCCCTGCCTCGTCCGGCATCTCGAGGCCCGCACGAACCTCTCGCTGCAGCCCTTGCCCCTCTCCCGGGCCCGGCGGCGTGCCCTTGGGTTCGTGCACCGGCGTGACCTTGAGCGGGCCTCCGCTTTCTGCCCAGCCACACCGCACTCTGCGGGGTCCGGGGACGCCGCCTCCTGCCCTCACTCCCCCGGCTTCAGCCTGCGCGCCCCAGGGGGGGCCCAGACCTACGCCACCGGCGTAGCCGCCGCCCCGACCCGCACGCGGCGCCAAAGGCCGACGCTCATTTGCGCCGCGCGGAGTGGGCGGGCGCGATTCCCGAACGCCGCCTGCACCTCGAGTGCCCCGCCGTCCCGCGGGCCCCGGCGGCCTTACGCCGCTGACGTAGCGCGCCCAAGATGGCGGCGCGGTCGTCGGCGGGGGCGGTGGCGGCGCAGGGGGCGGCGGCCGGGGCGACGACTGCGGTGAGGGCGGTGCGGGGCCTGGGTCGGGGGCAATGAAGCGGCCGCGGCGGGCTGGCTGCGGAGCCGAGTAGCGGACGCGCCAGCCTTCTCCCCTCCTCTGCCGAGCCGGGGGCGCGCGCGCACGCGGCCGTCCGCAGCAGGCTCCCCCTCGACTCCGATCCTCACAGCACCCCCACCGGGCCGGAGGATGATGAAGCTCAAGTCCAACCAGACCCGCACCTACGACGGCGACGGCTACAAAAAGCGGGCCGCGTGCCTGTGCTTCCGCAGCGAGAGTGAGGAGGAGGTGAGGCCCCGCCGGGGTCGCCGGGCGGGGCGTGGGCGCGGCCGGCCAAAGACGGGGTTTTCTGAGGGAAGGGGGTCTGAGGCCGGGAGGAAGAGGCCCTAGGGGCTGGGGAATGCGGGCCCGGGGCAGGGGGATGCCGGCCTGGGGCGAGGGGATGAGGGCCTCAGTGGGATGTCGGCCTGGGGCAGGGGAATGAGGGCCTCAGTGCGATACTAGCTGGGGTAGGAGGATGCCAGTGTGGGGTAAGCCTGGGCAGGGGTGTGCCATGCCTTGGCCAGAGCATGAGGCCCGGATTGCCTGTCATCCGGGAGGGTGTCTGTGGGTTGGGACAAATATGGTCCTTGGTCCCGGGCTACAGCTTTGATGGAGGAAGGTAGGCTCAGCTTGTCAGCCCCGCACACGTGCAGAGCCCTGCTGCTGTGCACGAGGCGCAGGCCAGCCTTTGTGGCAGAGCCATAGTCCGATTTATTGGCAAGTTTGCCTCTCCCCGAGGGAGCATGAATGTTTGTGAGCCCCCCCC